TTGTTTTTTTTTTTTTTGGGGGGGGGGGGGGGGACTGGGTCCTTCGCAGGACGTTACGTTCACGAGGGAAAAAGGTCCGCAAATGACTCTTATTCCTCTTCCTGATCTCTTTGTGGGATATTCTGGGAACTTGTCGATCCTCACTGGAGCCTTGAGGAGCCCCGAATCTCTCATGAAAGTCCTCGAGGACACCCTCGAAGGCTTTCATGAGCAGTTTTCCCTTTTTCCTCATCCCATGCACCATTTCACTTCCACGATGCTTGGCTATTAACGAAGATGATGAACTTCAATATGTTATTGAAAAATGACAATTATTTGGCTTCTGTAACTAGTAACTATCAACTGGTATGTTTCTCATTTATTATAATTCGTATTCAGGGTTTAATTTGGAAATTTTTTGCCAACCGAGCCACCACGGCTTTGGAGATACTTAACAAAATATATATTTCGTGCAAAACTGCAATTTTCCGTAGGTGCAAAAAAATAGTTATTAGCTCTTACTAGAAGTTCGACTATAAATCGCTCGCTTCTCCGGAGAGAGCGGAAACGCATGAGGGCATTATTCGCTCTCGAGCTCATCCTGAAGACAATGCACTTACTCCAAGATGTCCTCCAAGATGTCACCGTGTCGTGCCGAGGCGACCCGCCGGTCGACTGCCCAGCCGCGCAGGTGAGACACTCCGACCCAGGTAACACATCCATGTGGAAACAACATTGAAACAATTTTTCATTTATAATGTTGAAACAACATTGAGGTGCCACATTGATTCAATGTGAAGATGTCATTTTGTCAACATTGTTTCAACATTCTTTGTTAATGTGGAAACAATATTGTTGGCAACATTTATTCAACATTCCTCAAAGAGTCCCTCGTGATTGATTTTCTCCATGGATAAAGCAGAGGTAAATTCATCAAAATGAATCGCATGACCTGTGGATGATGAACTACATAAACAAAAGAAGAAAAAACCATCTTCAGCATTTATAGGTCAGTACCCACAGAGTACTGAGAAGTTTGAGAGGATGAATCCTCTTCTGTTCTGCAAACAGCACCAAAACCTTGGATGCCAAACTGGTTTGCAAAACGAGAATAAATCCTCTCAGCTCTTCTCTTAGAAGATTTGTGAATGGACCACTTCAGGTTATTCGTATGTGTGCTCTACACGTCTCCAATCGCCTAGACTTCTATGCGCTCACACTAAGCCTGGACATTTAATTTGTCTCAGAATCAGATTATGCAATCAGAGGATCATAATTCCACATTTCTCTAATATATGTGTTCATTAATTACGTAATAACGTAATAATAAGAGGCAAGTGGGAAGAAAACGCTTTAATGGAAGGTGACAGATCCGCAATTGCATTAGGAGGCCACATGGGAACATGGATACCATCTAGTGAGCGCTCTTGGTACTTCATTACGAACGCGCCTAGACTACACTACCGTAGTAACATAACGTTCATATGAGGATGCAAGACGTCTCCGCGATGACCGTAGGATAATTGGAAATGGTTTATGTATTTGTTTCTTAATTAAAAAACAATCATTATTCAAATACTTTATAATAAACGGCATGCAACTCAATAGTTGTGGAGTTTTTCCACATTGAAACTATGTTGTGGTAGGTTGATAGTGCTCCAAAAACCTATTGGAGAGGTCCCACCCGTTACCATTTTAAGAGGGGTTAACAATTATGCCACATCTAATATTTATAATCCGAATATTCCCCAATTGGAATCCACAATGTGATGCGACGACATTGCATCAACATTGAAACAATGTTCACCTCCAACCTTCAACATTCGCACACTCAATCCACGTCCAATTCATGTTGATTCAATGTTCTGTGTTACCTTGGGATATTGATGAATGTTGCTGCTGCTCTTCGCTCCAAAGCTGCCATGATGTCTTTATTGTTTATTTTATTAATATATCATTAAAGTTAAGGAAACGAAAAACTTTCCTTGATGGAAATACTAATTAATTCTCTCTCGTCGTGCATTAAGTCAAGTACTATTTCAGCCAAGATCTTGTCTTCGTACTAAAAATCGCCATCTACCGTTTTCCTTTAACCGAAAAAGGATAATTTTCACCGAGTAGAATAGGTATGTGGGCCCAAGTGCACCACGCAACAAAATACGAGCGATGAGGCCGCTCGCAGTGGACTCGCGGTGGGCTTCCCCCCATTTCCATTCCTGCTCCGACTTCAAAAAGAGGCTGGGGTTCATCGAGCAAAAATGCGGCATCATGCAGCTGCGTTGGGAGACTCTGCTGAGTTCATCAGAAAAAAATTGTTGAAAAAATTGATGAAAAAATGATGAGAATATGCATTACTGACCCAATTGTTTCAAATGTAAAATGTTTCAGGTTGTTTGTTTTAGTTGTTTGCTTTAGTAATGTTTTAGTTTAGAATGCTTACCGATTCATTTCCTGAGCTATGTTGGTGAGCATCCATTTGAATCCATTATTGAAAACATTTTAAATTAATATGAAACATTAACCTGAATCCAGTTCCATCTAACTGGAATGCAGTTACTTTTGAATTACTTGCATTCGGATATTACCATTCCATGCGGCCCACTGAGAAATTCAATATATAAATATCTCCTCTTATATATCGACTCCCTGCCCAATCGCATGCAAATAAGTCATATTCTTGTGTCGCTGAATTGATAAGGCATCTAAGCATCGACAGGTATGAGAGCACGCTTCCGGGAAACGAGGTTCAAACGTTCAGATTTGAGATTCAGATTTGATACGTTCAGATTCGTAAAACCAAGTAAATGTTTGTCATTCCAGTGGGGTGGTTACTTGCGATTGCCATGAACATTTTTGTAGACGATTTAAATAGAGCTATCCTCCGGGTAAAATCTGGCTTTTGTGAACATCTCTGCTCTCACTAGCTCTTTGAAGACACCTGCTTCTATTTATACATATTAAATTATTATATTCAATACATTAAGAATAACGCTGTTCTGTGCCAGCAATCCGACGGAGCTTCCGTATAAAAGGTAGAAAACCCGTATGAGGCATGACAATTGCATCAGAGGAGATTCTCAGCAAACAATGGAGGTGAGATCCCGCACCCTTAAAGGTGTGCATTCTTTATCACTGGCACCCTAAGCATGGTCACCATATGAGTAGGGTGAGAATGCTCACCGTGGTGTCCAGCACCTTTGATTGCTGCATGGCCACCCTCGGGTGCCATAACCATATTTTCAAGATCATCTATTTTTTGATAGGCCACGTACGCCCTTTGGCATCGCCCCAGGCGATGACGATGTAAATTTCATTAATGGTCACTCTCCATCCTCACCCCTGGGTTTCCATAGACACACTTTGGGGATTCCTTCCCCAAAGAGTGTCTATGGAATATCATGGTGACGCAATCGTGACTCTGTAGAAAACCCATTAAGTAATAATTCCATAATTCCCACTTCATTTATAATTCCAATGTATTTCGCTTTCTTGTAAGAAGGAAAAAAAGCAGGAACTCTATGTAAGAAATTCGAGGCGCGGCTTGGTTTCCTTACAGGCGACCCAACGGGTTGGCGACTGAAGTGCCATCTTACATCAGCAATGGTAACATTCCCTAAACAAAAATATCCAGCTGTTTCGCCCAATGGAAGCGAAAGGATAGTCGCATTACATCGTCATCAGACTACTGAATAGGCGAATAATGCACGGGTCTAAAAAAAAAAAGAACTGTGGATATGATGCAAAACGCGATAAGGAGACGAGAATATTTCATCTTTGGTTACCCCTACCTTCACAAGATTGGGCTGAGGGTTTAGCCTCGGGACTCCTCAAACCTTAATCCCACCCTGTTTTTGCAGCTGAGCCAGAGCCACCCTAGGGTAAGGATTAGCCCGAGGGGGTCATCCCTCCGGCAGGGGAGAGCATGACTCCAGATTTTCAGTTGAAAGGACTAATGCATGCCCTTGGGTGCTCACATGCACCCTTCTGATAGTACGGAGAGCCTGCAAACCCTTAAGAGTGTTGTGCGAACCTCCTAGGGAGGCAATGAACGCGCAGAGTTGAGAATGCTCCTCGAAATGCATGTACACCCATTTTTCAACCATTGCACATCCTGCACTCACCTTTATAATTTGCTGTATGGTCCAAGCCACGTCGAAGAAAAAGGCCCGAACGCAAATTAATTATAATGAAACGTAAATGAATTGTAATGAATTGTATGGTAAAGCCTGCGCTTATTTAGCAATGTCTTTGCTGTAGCTCGATTCACCTTCCGAAATGTAACTATTCATCTTGCTTCCATTCGTCGCCTGAAACTCGAATGTGCGCTCAATCTCCAGCTTCCAAAATGTTGACTTTTGAAGTTTCGAATATTATGCGGTTTCACAGTGCATGCTCTCCCAGACAGGCTAGATATCATACATGCATACAAAATATGATGAATTTGGCATGCAGCCATGGACAAAGAAATGCGAGATGGAAGGCGAAAAGGGGATGAAGAAGTTCCTCTTCAACCTGGAGAGGAAGGACTGGACCCTGGAAAAGGACTACGGCGAGGAAGGAATCATCGTCAAGTCCGCTTTCGATGAAGAGACGAATGCCCCCCTCCTCCTCACAGAGGTAATTTTGGTTGTTTCCCCCTTCTCGCCTCTTGAATCCCCTAAAAAAACCTGTAAACTTTGAAGGATTCAATCTATTTCTCATGGAAGGAAAGTTAAATATGAGATTTTCAGTGGGAGGGATGAAAAGCTTTAAATCGAGCATGTTTGGAAGACTGTTTTCTTGTAACCAACATCTATGATGATTTCCCTTTGATTTCGTCTCGTACGAGGTACCAATAGTAACCAAGGTAACCGTTTATTTGACCTGTGTTGCTTCTCGTTCTCTTCCTTCAATTTTAACCCTTTGAGGGCCACGCACTTACACGTATGGTTGGGTTTATTATGTATGGAAGCCATGTTCCTTTCCTTGGCCATAAACTAGCGCCTCTAACGGCCAAGTTAGTAACTATTTGGAGAAGGGGGATGCACGATTTGTATGATGTAGGATTTGGTAGGAAACTAGCATTAACCATAGGGGGAAAAAAACCTGGGCTCTGAGGGGGATGTTTTCCCCTACTTGCGGTCAGCAAAGGGTTAAACTTTCATCGAAACGGGAAATCTTGTTTAACCTTCGGGTGACCGCAATACACTTACTCTTTTCTCCGAAATGGGGTCAACTGTGACCACATGCTATTGACGTCCCTTTCGTTGTGTAAGATCATGATTGATGTATTGTAAGAGAGCAACAACTTCATTTTGCATATATCGAAAAATTATTGGATAGTATACGGGATTTATAGTTTGCATATTGAAGAATTTCCTCAAAGCTATTAAGAAAAAAAAAACACACAACATGGAGTCAGAAATGACTCCAATTCGGTCATCGGAGGTCAAGAGACCAAGCACACAATTGAAAAGGGAATGCAAAGAAATGTGATGTTCAAAGTGGAATTGTCCATATGGAGAATTACCTTATCCCACGTTTGTCTTCGATGTTACAGGCCACGCTGGATTTCGAGTGCGACTGGGTGCAACGAGACCTTCGAGACCACACATTCGAAGCCACAGCTAAGTGGTACCCAGAAGTCAAGGAATTCACGATCGTTAAGGTTCGTCCCAATCGGATCATTTTGGAGGATCTTGGATACTTTGTTTCTGGAGAGATGAGAAGGGCTTACTGAAGTTGCATTTTTGAAATATGTTTAATGGAAATGTGTTACAAGACGTAAAGTAGCAAAAGAACGTTCAGGAAGACTCTCAGCTCCGGCTCAGAGAGGTTCTTTTGACGTTCAAGGTTCGGGGATGAGCAGCTTTTGGACGCTCAATTAAGGTGCTGTTTCATCACCAAAAAATAACGTTCCTAAAGGGCGTTGGGCGTTAAAGAGGCTCTTTTCTTAATCATGACTGTGCTGTCCATCTGACAGTGGCTGAGAGCAAAGGTTCACACAATCGACGCTAGATGACGCCAATGAATCCGTTATAGCTACTCAGTACCTGGTACAGCTGGAATTGTAGGCGGCTCCGACGTGATTTGACGTTAATGACTATCGCGAAGAGATCGCCAGCGTGTTCGAGGTTTAAAATGACTCCGTTGACTCCTTCAATATACAATTACTTTATTGTGACAACCAGCTTGGAAAGAGGTCAATAATAACGAGAACCAGGAAATGGATATGGACGAAGAGATCGCCAGCGTGTTCGAGGTTTAAAATGACTCCGTTGACTCCTTCAATATACAATTACTTTATTGTGACAACCAGCTTGGAAAGAAGTCAATAATAACGAGAACCAGGAAATGGATATGGGACAAAAATTCAAACTTCTGTTCCCCTAAACGCTTAATAGGCCATAGATACTCAATGAGCAATACCTGAATATAAACTCGTGTGGCATCGGTGGGGTAACAGACAGCATACAATCTCCAGCACTGACGTCTAGGGTCCACTCAATATCCCGCGTCTTCTCTCAGGTTTCTCCTCACTATTCTACAATTCGACTCCCTTGCCGGACTCACTCACTTGATATCCCCTACTCGACCCGACTCGACTCGCGCGGCCCTTTTATTCCGTTATGTCGGACATGCGCATTATATTTTACTGTTATTTTATCATCTTCATAAAAGGACCTCCTACAGAATTATCCAGAATATTTTCCTTGAGGTGCCCTATCTTTTTCCCCCCAGACACCAAAAAGGAAGACATTTGAATTCTTAAACCAATCCGTCTGACGAGGTAACACAATCCAATTGGTCTCCTGAAAACTCTGGCCCGAAGTATGGAGGGAAGATGGATCGATTTCCAATATGACTTCATGATTACTAGAATAAGTTCTTTAACTCCCCCCTCCCCCCCTTCCCAGCCCCTCCCCTTCACGTGAGACTACCCTTTCTCACTCACCATCCGTAACCCTCATCATCTCCATCACCACCTCTCTTCCTCTCATTAAAAAGGGAAAAAAAANGACTTAAATAAAATCACACCTTACTGACTCACGAAGTAAAACGGCTAGAACCCTATAGATTTCATTCTTCTTCGGCTCAGGTGGACCTAAATACGAAGCGCCCCAAAACACTGATACTAACCTAAATAAATTCAGGTTGCTTTCTCAATAAGGCCGTATAGTTCCTTACTCTTTAAACCCCTAAAGATAAAAATTTTCAAGGGAGAGATCCTGGGGGAGAAGCAGCTCTCTCTCGGGTTGACTTCTCCCCCATAGCCATGAGTCACCTTCTCAGGGCTAAGTCATTAGCTTCGTGAGGGTCTTGCTCTCTGCCAGCCCTCATGTTGGGAGGATCTCACCATGGTGGGCGAGAGTCATGTGTCGGTCCACTACATGACAGCGGGGCCCACCATACCTTTAGCTCCTAACTTTAAAAAAAGAAAATACTAGAATAAGTTACCGGAAAGGGCGAAAATCTAAGTTATCTCTCCGCGAGAATTGGCAAAATTGGGAGAGAGTGCACTAATTTTCTGCTCTTACTCTTTTTCTACACGCATCTCCGGCACAAAGAAGGAACTGTGCATCTGAGTCCGTTTAAGATTCTCCCTCGCACGCCAAGATCAGGATCATTCCCAAATGAGGATAGGTCGTACTTCCAATGAGAACGATTGGTTACGCGATTGCTTACGACCCCTGTGACCGGGAGCAGATGTTTACTTTTGTCGAATGAAACCTTTTCTTGTTGTTTGGTTTGATTCAATTCACCTCTTTGATGAACGTTCAGGGAACGCATAATTCGGCTTGTTTTTTTATCGCTCTAGATTCCGGACGCTTGAGCAGTCAAGGAACGTTCCCGATGACGTTCATGGAACGTTAGCAACACATGAAATGAAAAGTTCGTTCGTTTCGTGCAACTCCCAAGTATGCATCTATATGAAGAAGAAAGTCATGAAGTAGCAAAGGCAAATGAAATTTGCAAATTGCCGAAAAGTCCCTATGCGTTCCACAGGTTCCGCCGGGATGTTTGAACACAGTTTTTCAGTAATGTGTAGTAAAAACACACTATAAAAATGTTGGTATAGATTTATCGATTGTATAGAATAATGTAAAGATTTATTAGCAACTTTCCGTTTCAAGTCGATCCACCATCACAGGTTTGTCTTCTTTATCAAAGCGGTTCATATTATCCATCACTTTTTTCTTGATCACAGCGACTGACGGACGCGTGCTGGGTGGTGTACATCGTGACGAAGCCGAAACTCGGGGGCCTTGTTGCCAGTCGGGACATGGTCAATCTCTACTACACGCGCGAGATGGGGAACGCGTACTACGTTTCCTCGATGAGCACTACGTGGCCGGGACTGGAACCGAGGAAGGAGATGGTCAGGTACGAGGAATGGATGCATTAGTCTCGGTAAGGAAGGTTTTTTTTAATTTCATGAAGGACTATAAATAAGGAGGAGAAGGGTGTTGCACGCACCAACCTGGGTTGATGAATCAATCAGCGAAACATGGAGAAAGTTACAAATATCGCAATTAAACAATTCACTTCATGCTTCTAATCGGCTATTGACTCTCGCCTAATCTGTATGTGCTTGAAAAGTGCTGCAATGAACCCACACCCAATCTTAAATTTTTGAGCGACCATCCATAACTTTTTATTGACACGTGCATAATCTGGTGGTCGTTTTGGCTTACAGTTGCCTGAAGCCGCCTTAAGGTCGACCACGTCCAGCTGGCCTTTCGTCAGGCCAAGTGTCACACTTGCCCCGCAAATATGCCAGTGATGAACCGACTTTCCAAGAGGCGGGGAAGATTGGGAAAAGTTTTGAGAAACTATCTATATATCAATTTTGCAGCTCTTTTATTGTCAAAGGACAGTTTTAAGGTCATGCATCAATATTGTAAATGTTTTGCCCGTAGTAATAATCAGCTTCCACCGCTCCCCCAGCTAGGAAATGACTTGAAGGGTCTGATCTGGAAGCATGCCCATACATCTAATCAAGGCTCAGTGAATTGTTTGTCTCTGAACCGCCGAGAAAATGGTTTCATGGAACACATTATCAACACCAGCACGTTCCACTTACTGACACAATTTCTGCTATTTTTGACGTTCCACTGAGTTGAAAACACACCTAGATGCGTAGATGAAAATCCTGCATCAATTCTCAAAGAAAAAAAACAGGAAAAGGTTGGAAAAAGTATGTTCATGAAATGAAATTCAGCTATATTTCGGTGACTGAGTCTGGATGTCCCCCGCTCTGAATTTGCTATATACAGTCGTCCCTCGCCACTTCGCGCTTCGACTTTTGCGGCTTCACACTTTCGCGGTTTTTTCAAATACCTGTATATTGGGTAATACGAGTGTAATGGTGACTAAAGAGTGTTATTTCATGTCTAGAGGGCTCTAATAGACATGAAATAACACTCTTTAGTAAATAACACTCATGCAACTTGTTTTTGCCAGTCGGAGCACGTAATACTCCAAAAGCACTATTTCATATTTGAAAAAATAAAGCTGTTTTAAATGCGGTGCATTTACATAAGCAATTAGCGAAACTAACGAGCATGAATGTGGCCTTGCTCCAACGCGAAATTAATTTCGTGTTACTCAAATGAAATCAGGGCGGAGATGCAGGAAGGAGGCGGAATATCTTTCTCTCCCGATCCGAAACGGAACGGGAGGACGCTGGTGCGCTGGGTCAGGTCCCAGGACTTCAAGGTCCCGCTCGTCCCATCGGCTCTCCTTCAGAGGCTCTACGTCGAGGCGTGCCGGAGGTACATCGCGGGCATGCGGAAGTACCTGTCGGCCAGACACCGTCTTCGCCTCGAGATCGTGCAGGAGTGACAGGGTGAAATACCCAACGTGGATATTTCCCTAATTGGCAGATATTTCAATTGAAGACAATGGGCTGTATTAAGATATTGTGATTTCTCGACAATACAGCTCTCTTCCCTCGATATACGTCAATAGGAAGATTTCTATATTTTTCCATGAATGTAATTTTATTGAAATGGAAAGTTTCCATGGTATATATATCCCATTTTCCTTTAAGGTTTTGCTCTGAAAGTTGAAAGCAGAAATAACCACACATATTTATGACCCCTTCTCTCTCCGTCTGACAGCAAAGTCAATATTTATGTTTTGTGGTATTATCGTGCATTGCTTTCCTTGTATGACAATAAAATCCCAACTGATGGAAAAAAAAAATATATATATATATGAGTAAATAACGTAGATATAAAGAGTAGTTGGCCAGTTTAGCAATTACCCGAATGGGCAGTGAAACTGCACTCATTCAATTCAATAGATTGAATAGAAGAAGACTGCAATGCCCCTCCCAGCCAAAGCCACCCCACGGCAACAGGCAGGAAATGTCTGGCCACTAGCCCAGGAGAAGAGGGCAGAAAACCATTGAATCCTGCATGAAGAAGGAGAGTGAGAGATGTCCCCAGCGATGGAGGAGCAGTTGCGATTAGAGTCCTCTCTCACTCTCCTTCTTCATCCAGGATTCAATGGTTTTCTGCCCTCTTCTCCTGGGCTAGTGGCCAGACATTTCCTGCCTGTTGCCGTGGGGTGGCTTTGGCTGGGAGGGGCATTGCAGTCTTCTTCTATTCAATCTAT